CTTTAAAAATACCAAAAAGAATGTATGTTCCTACTAGAACATGAATCTCGTCCTTCATAATTCTTTCATTGGACTCCGACCTTTAAGGTGTTCTTGTTGTGTGTGTTTTAATTCCTAACTTTTCTGGAAAATGTGCAGAGGTCATAATGAGGCATAATTATATACAGTATACAATTGTCTTTGGCCTTTTTCAAGTACTAATTTAGCTATCATTTTTCCCCATGTAACTTTTATAACAAATACTTTTATTTTTTTAATTTTATTTTATTTTTTCAAATACATTTGTCTCTGCCTCCCCCCACCACTTTCCCTTGCCCCCTCCCCATTCTCCCTCCCTCAATCCTTCCCCACTTTGGCTTTGTCCATGAGTCCTTGCTATATGTTCTTTGACTTGCCCCTTCCCTTCCTTTTCCCCTCTCCCCCTCCCTCCTTCCCTCTTATACTTTTAACAGTATAAGTTAAACAGTACAAGTATAAGTATAACAAATACTTTTAAAAATGAAAGTCCTTTCTTCAGTTTTGGACTGAATTATACGGTCAGGCAGGAAATTTAGCAACAGCGTATGTTAAATGAACACTAAAATAATCCTAATTTGTCTACATGGACAATGAATTTCTAAAACAGGTTTATTCCTTCACACTTCCCTTTTATGAGGAAACAAGTAATAACTAGCTTACCTCTCTGGTCCTCAATTTCCTAATGGGTGTCACCAATCATAGAGTGTTGTAAGGATTAAGTTAAATTGAGTACATTGTCTTTAGCACTCAGGTGATAATGATTCATTTTATTATTTAGATTTAAAAAATAATTTCCAAAGTGTGTTTATATTTTTAGCCTGATTTTAGCCTGATTTCTTATAACTTACTCATTTACTACACTAAATAATAAGTGGTAATTATTACAGTGAAACCACATCATCAAAGATTAAATTTTGTTTAAAAATGTTTGAGTTGTCATTAAGTCACAGGTGACTTAAATAATGAGACTCTGAGGTGAACAAGAATATCCTGGTGCTCCATCATTCTGAACCAAAGAGAGTTTATTTTCTTTTCATTTAAAAAATAATTACCCTTTAAGTATTACTTCATTCCTATAGAAAATGCCTTGTAACCTGTAAATAATTAGTAATTTTACTTTCTAAAAACATTTTTACATATAGTTTGCGTGGAAGGCCATCATTGGTAAGAGAATAAGCCTGAACTTAAAACAGTGATAAAAAAAATATTGAGAAGAAAGGCAAATCACGTCTGTGTGGAAAAGAAGAATTGTTTCCTGAATGGTTAAGGAATTTCTATTTTAAAAAACCTTGCTGTAAGCATCATCAGTCATTTGAGATCAGCAGGGATAAGTGCACCAATATGAAGACTGATTTGATTTTCACACTATTTTAATGACAAGATAAATTTCAGCAACTTGGATTTTTATATAAGATGACGCTTTAAAATAAATGAAACATATTTGCAAGCAAGCAAACACGCAAACACGGAGGGAATTATTTGTTTTGAATTGCTGACAGTGTAAGTAACTAGATCAACTAATAGAACCAGACTAATTCTATAAACTTTAGAGTATTTTTTATAAACCAGTGGTTAGGGAGTATTGGGGTTTAAAGAGGATCATATGTATTTTTATGTTTCTAATGCCTTCAATCATTTTAGTCCTTCAAAAAATTTTGCTGAATAATATTTTTTTATACCTGTAATGGCCCATTTGTTTATAGCGAGTTGGAAGTTTTTAAAATGGCAGATTTAGTGTGAGGACACAGGTATATGTTTTTATAATTTTAGTGTCATTTATGCTTAAATTGTGTATTTATTAATTTTAATTACATTAATAAATCTACTACTATATATGCCTTGATGGTGTAGAAAAAAATACCAAATTTCACATCTGGTAATCCTAGCCCAAATTCCCCATAAATAAGTGATGAAGGGGAAAAGAACAATGCCACAATCTAAGCAGTTGATGAACAGCTTATGTGGTAGAGACAAAAGTTCTCTACCACATAAAAGTTCTGTATTCATCTGGAAAATCTTGCTGTTCCATATCTTGTGTATCTATAGTCAATAAGGGATGAAGTTACCTAGGCAAAATCATCAGAACCAGCCGTTTCTCCCTTGTAAATTTGAAGTCAAGTGCTGTTGCATTTTACATTTGCTTCTCTTGAATTTATTATTTTTCTAAAGAACGTACTCACCAGAAAGATCAAGGTCTTCATGGCTGTGGAACATCTGGGGCTGTACATCCACACGCAGGGTTGTTGATTCTCATGTTCTTTGGTTTTGGGGCATTTCAATCAAGAGAGTACAAACCTCAACATCAGTGTTTCTAAAATATGATGTTACAAGGGATTTATAACCAATAATGAAGGACCAATATTCAGGAATAACTTTTTATTTAAGTATGAATTAGATTGGCTTCCAAGTTATTTAAAGAGTATTACCACTCCACTCAGTCCCATGAAGACCCCCTCCATGAGTGGCAGAGAAGAGGGCAGAGGCTTTCCTTTTGGAAAGCATTGTTAATGCTTGGCAAAAGCCTACCAGTGCCTCACACATGTGAACATCTTCCAACTTGCATGTGTTGAAACAGAAAAGAGAGTGAGAAAAGTTGCTTTATGCAGGCCCTGGTTTATTTCAATACACAAGTACAAGTAATCTTTGCATATTGTCTGCTTTGGTGAGGGCCCGGGAATCAAGGAGCATAATGACCCCAAGGCATTGGCAAAATGCCTTCGCTGCAGAAACTCTAATATTGTGGGAATGACTTGCACACATCATTTTATTTTAGTCTGAAAATGCAAATACATAAAATCTCTCATTATTTCATGGAAAGTGTGTGGTTGTTTCTTAAGGAGGCAGAAGTGGCTAAATGCCTTCCTTGAGTGTCCCCTCTCTAGGCATGTGGCAATGGTTGTTAGTGCTGTCAAAGATGAATTATAGAATAAAGTAGAAGCCTGTTACCTTTTGAGCATCATCTTTTCAATGAGAGGGCCCACTGTGGCCACAGCAGGGTCTGTGAAGAAGACTTATTTCCCTGGCAAATTCAGCTTATTTGTGACTAGCTCTTGGGAAATGAAAGTGTATCATAAACAATCATTGATCAAGCTTTTACCTTTGTTTGGGTTGAAAAATACATTTGAAAAAACTGAATCTGAAATGGGCTGAATTTAAATTTCCTTGGACTGCTTTAGCAAAAACATTGAGAGAAAGGATTCCAGTTTATTGGTAAATTGAAGAGAATTTAGGTTGTGTCAATTTTCCTGATGGTTTTGATTGAACAAATGACTTAGTTTGTAATTGACTAGCCCTTGAAATCAATCAAAGCCATGCTGTATTAGGTTAACTAAATTTAAATCCTTAAACCAACTGTGGATGTGAAACAATCTTTAAGTTTATGAAACAAAGCACACTTTATTTTACTACGATAACATGAAACAGAAAATGCCAACTCAAAATATAGAAAGCAAAAAATAGCTATTACAGGTGCTAATATGTTACATTGATTTTGCAAATGGAAATCTACCTACCTCTAAGAAAATGGTGTCAGAATTTAGAATGCCATAAACCAGAGACGGGAAAACTTTTTCTGTCATGGGCCAAGTATAAACATTTTAGGCTTTGCAGGCCATATGGTCTCTGTCACTACTACTTCATTTTGCAGCTATAGTGCAAAAGCAGTCATAGATAATATGTAAACAAATAAGTGTGACCATGTTCCAATAAAACTTTATTCATGGACACTGAAATTTGAATATTATATAATTTTTATATGGCATGAAATACTCTTTTGATTTTTTTTAATCATTTAAGAAATGTAAAAACCACCATTAGCTCAAAGCCCAAACAAAAATAAGCAGTGGACCAGATTGGCTCACAGACTGTGGTTGCTGACACTGCCTCAGATGAATGAAGCATGAGCTGCAAGAGAAACTTCAGGACACATCAAGAAGGTCAATGATTCATTCGTTCTTCATTAAAGAGTAGCTATTGAACATAACATCACCTATGGGCTATACTTGTCAAAAAAGTTTACCCTGAGTTGGATAATGAGAAAACAACTGGACACATCCAGATTGTGGGCCATCCTATAGAGCCGGCCTGGACTCGTCAGAACAGTCAGGAAGGCCCAAAGGAAAAATACAAGTGTGGGGAAACTGTTTAAGAATAAAAAGACAAAGCCTGAAAGCAATGTGTGATCTATTTTTGAATCATAGATTGAAACAAAAACAACTGTAAAAGAACATTATTAGGATATTTGGTAAAATGTGAGTATGGATTATCAAATGTTATTGTATTGTTACTTTTCTTGGGCATGATGATGATACTGTGGGCTTGTAAAATAATGCCCTTGTCCTTAGGTGATATATGCTGAAGAATTATAGATGAAGTATTACGATTTGTAATTTAATTTCAAATGGTTAATCACACGCACGAAGTGTGTGTGTGTATGTGCATATGTGTGTGAGTGGAGAGATGAAGCAAATGTGGTAAAACAGTAACAATAAATGAATTTGACAGATGAGTATGCAAATATTGTACTGCTCATTCAAATTGTACATAGGTCTGAAATTACTCAAATGAAAATTGGAAAATATACATAGGAAAAAAGACACAGTTGTAAATTCAGTTGGTTCAAGTTAGAAAAATTTGAAATATAAAATTATAGTGTTTGAAACATAAGGTATTCATTAAAATTATAAAATAATACTAATTTCCTTTGGAAATTAAAATAATTTGACTTGTAAGAAAGAGCTAAATCATTTCAATGTGTTTTGTTTTTTTCATCTAATTTATTTCCAGGAATTATAGAATGGGTAAAACCTAAGCTGGACAAACCAAAAACAACAAAATCATCAAACTTAGCTTCTCAAAATCTCTGAATTTAGATTATTCTGTTGTTGCACGAGATGCATATTTATTCAGTGACCAGAATTCTGAAATATATGTTTTCTTTAATTAAAACTTTCAAATACAAAAAACACTTCACTTCTTCTATCACTGAGATCCATATAATTCTGCATACCATTTTGCTCACTAGATTTTTTTTTTTAAATGTAGAAACTAGATAGGAAACAAAATTAATGGGTCATCATTTAATTTGGAAAAACCACTCTATTTGAGGACATGAAAGGCACTTTCACAAGAAAAACTGTAAACTTTTGAAGGCAGAGACCACATTTTAGTTGCCTTTGTATCTCTAATGCCAAACAGAGTACTTCACACAAGTAGCCACTCGATGAATGAATGAATGAATGAATGAATGAATGAATGAATAAATGAAAGGGGGGGACCCTGATTTATATGGAGACAGGTTAGATTTCAATTTGATGTAAGGTAAAGATTCAAGATTACTCTGGCACTGGACTGATCCACTGAAGGAAGTAATGGATTCTTATTTATTTGCTTATTTATTTATTTATTGAAATTTACAATAATAGAATAAACATATATCTTAATATATTTTTAGAGAAAACTTACCACTTAAATGTTCAGATATTTTTCTACATGTATGATGATGAAGACAGTTCCTCAGTTTCAAGGATTCTGTCTGTTAACATTCAGTCAGGTTGAAATGGATCTGAAACTCATGGCATATGAAAGGCTGTTGAGGGAATTAAAAAAGAGAAATCATAACAGCTGGGGGAGGGTGAGTAAGTGGTCTCAATTATTTTCAGGGTTACCATGAAAAAGAAGGGGTAGAAATTCTCTGAGAAGCTTATCAGGAAAGAATTAGGACCAGTAAGCAAAATTAAAGGTGGGATGGGGGCCACTATGCAGATTTTAGCAACCCAAGAAATAGCTTTCCAGCAGAGAGACATGCCCCAGAGGGGACAGTTTGCCTTAAGAGTGTCACTGGAAGTGTGTGGGTAGAGTTGGTATGACCATTTTCCAGGGTAACTAAGGAGGTAGCATCTACATAGAGCAAGAGATTGAGGCTATGCCATCCCTTCCAACCTGAAAAAGCATTGTATCAGTACAATAAACCTGAAAGTCATTCTACAAATGCGGTGTTTACACTAAATAGAGTATTAATAAACAAATATTTTCAATACCTCAAGGTTTTTAATGAGTACATCACAGGTAAACAGAGTATCATGATCTGCTTGTTCTTAGAATGTTTTACTGATAGATGTAGACTTGGCATTAGTTAGTAGATGTAGACTTGGCATTAGTTAGTACCCAAGGAAAATTTAGGTTTCCTCAGTATATAAAATAATAACATACCTCAACAGGTATCCAGAATGTTCTTAGGTATTTCAAAGACAATAGGATATTTTTCCTCTAGATCGCAGGCCACTATCCCTGTTAGCTTCTGTCATCCTCTCAATACTAGATTATTTTCTAAAACTATCTCCTAATGAGACATTTATCTCTAGTTTCTTCCCCTTTAATCATCTTGAACACTGCAACTAAATGTCTGCCTAAAACCCCTTGTGATCAAATTACTGTCTGGTCAAAAGCCTAATATGATTCATCAGTTTTGAAATATGTATGGAAAAATATTAGAAGGGGAATAAAAATACAAGTAGTTATTAAAATGGTATAATTATAGACTAGTTTTTCTTAAATGTTCTTGGTGTGCTACTGATAAAGTCCTAACAATAAATAATATCCAGTGCAAAGCAAAGATTTGACAAAATTTCCTTACTACCTAGCATATCACATACAAAAGCTCCAACTTAACTTTTTAGAAAGACCCTCCATTAAGTCTCCCAACTTACCTTTTCTCCCACTACTCCTGCAATAAGCTTCACTAATTCCCTATTGTCTAACTCTGCTCTCTTCTAACTCTTCCCTTCCTCCTTGTCCCTCCTTGCTGCTTGTCTTTGTACCTCTTTCACCACTTTGCTCTTTTCATCACCTGCAGGACAACGACTGCCTCTCACGTCTGTGTTCACTTCGTCAGGAACGCAGGTGGGCCTGCGGAGGGCAGGGCCTCTGTTCACTTATCATTGTGTCCCCTGTATCTAGAACAGTGCCTTGCAGGTAAAAGAAGTTAATTAATTATCAGATGAATGAATGATTGTCATTTCTGGGACTGTATAAATCCACACATTATTTTTTTTTTAATTTGGTATAAATTGGTTATATACAGGGTCCAGCAGAAGTAACGCCTGCTTGAGTGTGGTGAGTAGGACAATGATACAGGCGTAATAATTTGTAGTTTTAATTTGAACATCTCACCCAAAATGTCAGATTGTATGCTTCAGTGTGATATTATGTTACAGAATTACCTGCTTATGATTTTGTAATAAAAGATTTTGTAATTAAGTAGGGGCGTTATTTGTGCCGGGCCTTCTATTATGTGCGGTTTTCTAACTGTGTTTTGTCTTTTTCTAGTTGTTTACAGGTTTTGGTGTAGATCTCTCTAGATGAAAAGATCAATGTTATCCATATTACCTAACTCAATATTTCAATTCAACAAATTTTTATTGAATACCTACTGTGTTAGGCACTTTAGTAGGCATTAGAATAAAGTTAGAAACTGCATTTAACAAGAGCAGTGAAGACCAAACGGATTATTTTGTAGTTGATTTCTTTTACACAAAATAAATACACTTGAAATCAGTAATCTAAATCAAAATAATAGTCAAATTTTCTATATTGTCCTACCATCTTTTGTATCAAACCCATTCAAAAGAATTATATAAAATAAATATAAGATGTATCCTGAAATTCAACATTAATACCATTAACGAGAAACAGAAATAAAAAACCTAAAAATTTTTTTTACTGTTTTAGGGGAAATATCATTAAATCATTTGTGTTCCAAGATCTTTATAGTGATTGGAAATATTCTGAAAATTGAAAAGACTTCATGTGTAGATTCTAGTTTAGGTCATTTTAAGCCTCATATGAAAGATAGATATTTTGGAAGCTGCTATCTGTAATATTTTTTTCCAGAACCAGATGCAATAATTTGGTAAAGAACACAGGTAGAAGAGATCACTAATTTCCCTTTTCCCCTAATAAGCTATGTTTATTATGCCAATTTTAATTACCATGCAATCTAATGGATTTAAGGCTTATATTTTCCACATCACTAGACATCACAAACATGAAAGCATTTTATACTGTCATTATACATCAATGTTTGTACTTGGTTATACATATATACAGGAATTATTCACACATCCTAACCTTGCTATTTCTTCCCTTCAAACCAACCTAATTTTACCATGAAAGCAGCTTTTTAATAAATGGTATAAGAAATACAGCAAGGCACACTTTTTAAAAAACTTTTTTCGCATTACCACCTCAAGAAGCATAAGAAAACCAAAATGTTGTACATGATTTAATAGAATGTCACCAGTTTATAATATACAACACCATATAGTTGTTTCTTGAAGTGCTGCATAGATTATTATTATTAAAATAAAATAAATAAAATGGTGCTTTTAAAAGTTGCTTAATTTTGAACGAAAGACCAGTGTTTCTTCTCTGTGCTGTAATCACATCGAATGTTGCCCTTTTAGGTAAAACTCTTTCAATAAACATAAGCATCATATCATTACCAAAAATTCATATTGAAACATAAAATTGGTCAAGTACTGGCAGGGCTCATTCCAGACAGGAGAATTTAATGGACCATCAATTCGGTGAGCTGCAGAACTTTAGAAAGCAGATGCAGAGGGGGAGAAACGAACAGAAAAGTCTTGCTGGAGAGGCGGGGCTGGCAGAGGTAGCTTGGGAAGGGAATCCGCGGGGAATAAGCAGTTTTGCTGAACTTCAGAGACAGTCACCTAAAGAGAACCAGTGCACACATCCAGATCACGAGGGCACGTGGGCAAACCGCATTCAGAAGGGTCATCTTGGGGGAGGTCAGTGTCACAAACGGCAGTGACGCGGTGGAACAGAGACCAGCCTGGGGTGGGAGTATGAGGCTGCCCCTGGGTTGCAGCCAGGCTTATCTACAGGAGACAAAAAAAAGTGGAAAAAAGACGGTTTCAGGAATGTCTGTTTCATTGTAAAACCCAGACCTTTGAGGAACCCCTGAAGGCTGCCGTGTTGGGACAGCCTTCCAGTGTTCTGAAATAAAAGGATACATATAATATAAAGTTATTTTAATGGCCCAATATTCATGTTACTGAATAAAAGTGTTTCAGAATCTATGTGAAAAATACATTGACCTCGTTTTTGAGACTTGGTTTTAAAGAAAACAAGAAAAATCATCAGGTTTGACTTTTCCTCTTGATCTCATCTAGTCTTTTGCTTGTGAACTCAGTTTCAAGCACTCAAGACAGCCTCTCCTCACTACGAAAATGTGGGTCTGCCAGCGCCAAGTGCATCAGCAAAGTATCAACAGTCCTTCACAGGCTGGGAACCTGGGCCCTCAGGTGTAACCCTTCCTCCAGTGATACTGTATGTGTGGCAGTGGAATTGAACAACTCCACTATTATATAATGGTGAATATTCATAACATTGTGATAATCCCAAATGTTTCATCCCCTTGCCTATAAAAGGATGTAATTAGGGCTTTTAGCTGAAATACGAATGCATTTCATTGAAGGTACAGGCAGCATTGTGCCGATGAGAATGATTCAATTATTTCTGTATATCTGATGGCTCAGATACACATTTCTTCCAAACTCAATTAGTTCTCCCTATTTTTAAGTGTCTAAAAGCAACCTGCCGAATGTGAGGAACAACTAAATTCCAGGTTTAGGCAAGGCAAGATGAAATTACTTAAGGTCCCCCGACCAGCTCTCAAATAAAGCAGGCTTTTCTTGTCTGGTTCTGAATTCTGATGTCAGGTTGCTTTATTGTCTTTTCAGAACTAAACATTCTCATTCTCTGTCTGGCTCTTTCTCAGCAACCTTACAACCGGTTTAGGAGCCAGAAAATCTTTAGCTAATATGGTTTGGCTGGAGTCACAGGAAGTTGGGGAGAGAAGGCAAGTTTAGGAATAGGGAGAGACAGACAGGAACAGATGGGATGAAATTTGGTATAGTAAAATAATGCAGGAACTCAAGAAAGAGCACAGTGCATTGTTCAAATGCTGAGAACATGACTCATTTGAAAACTGGCCACTCAGTAGGAAATCTTTAGGTGAGGCAAAGCTGATCTTACTGAATGCTGGTATTTAAATTTTCTCTGGATAATCAATTCTTTCAACTTGGCCCATTTGGAAAGGGGCAGGCCAAACTGGCTGGGCTGTGTGAGTGTGTGTGTGTGTGTGTGTGTGTGTGTGTGTGTGTGTGTGTTTATGGGGGTGATATCCAATAAAATCTTATTTATCATGACAAAGCTAGTTAATCAGAAGTGCTGGTTAATTTAAAAAATATCTCACATCCACCAGGACCTTGATTTTATTGAAATTATTTTAAGGTATATTTGATACGATTACACCTGTATTGTTTAGTGAAAAATAAATACACTATCACCAAGAGTAGTTTCTTAAACCTGTTTGGCCAGCTGTGGGTCATATTAAAACACTTAGTGTCAATCTAATTAACAGAATGAAAACTTGCGGTGTGTACATGAGAAATGTTTGCTCTGACAGCTTTCTCAGTTTGTAAAAACTGAGCAGCAGCACTATTAACTGTGCATGTGTGTACTTGAGCATGCGTGACTACAAGTAATTGTCTAAAATCTAAAATCTATGGGCAACCAACTATCACATTTGCAGACCAGTAAAGTAGGAAAGGCTAAAAAGCTCTAAAGGAAATTTGCATCCTAAGTAAACATAGCCCCTCCCAGACACACACACACATGCACAGAGTAAAATAAAGCTGAAAACCAGAGCAAACCAAGAGGAAAAAATAAAAAGTACAAACTAGCTGCATGTGATGAGTTAAATTTTTATACCACAGGATTTATCCTGCATGAAGTTTAGGGTTAAATCATTCACCAAAGACCAGAGGCTTATGATGAGGATTATGAAGAAATAACTGTCAGAATACAGCAAAAAGATTAGTGCAAAGTACATCTCTTAGGCGGGTCCTAGGAGGCACTCCAGACATACATTATATGCTTCCTCCAAGTTAGGCAGAAATATCTGATCTATTCAGTTACCTTTCCTTTGATGCGATTTGCTGTAACTGACCTCTCTATTTTTATAGAAACATGGCATATAAATGAAAGTAGTGAAAAGCACAGCAGTGTGCCTGGAAATTGGTGCAAATGCACACTGTGTTAGATCATGTTCAAACTTCTCATACCGTTTCAGTGGGTTTTTAATTAGAACACAGCAAATGAAAAAAACCTTTACAAAATTTTTTTGAGAAAAAAAGTTACTGTTGCAAACTGTATTGCTATTATTCTAAGCTATAGCTCTTCTAGATGACATAATTGCATCATCTAGTAATTTATTTCTTGAAAAACCCAGCAAGTTGAATTTGGTGAATTTTATTATCCTGATAAAAAGAGCACTCCAACTGATAGTTTTCAAGTGGACTGAAAGGTAAGCTTTTTCTTTTGCTCTTTTAAATTTTATGCAAAGAACAGTGACAACAATTAAGCTTTTGTAGGCGTGGAACCTCACATTCACCAAATAATTTTACTATGCATTCCTGACACTTAACCCTGAAGTTATTTCAACATTTTGAGATTAACTAACTTGTCTGGGTTGGTATTATTTTAACAATATGTAAATCTTTCTACCCAGGTACCCATGTTGATGACTGGTGAAAAATTTAGGTATCCAGATGTTTTGTGTACATGCTGCTGAAAAAACTCAATAGGACTAGTAAATACGGCTATTTAAATGGCCCTAGACTGATAACGAGTCACTTGGGGGCGATGTGAGTTCTGCAGAAGTAAAATCTGGCTGCTTCTTTCATAGCCTGGGACAGGGCCAGACCCTGCATCCCGGGGGGCTCAACAAAATATTGCTGACTGGCAGGCAAGCTGGCTGATAGTTCTACACTGTCCCTGCCTGTAAAATGTGAGGGCCACACAGACCCATCAGCGCATTCACTTCCCTGAGTCTAAAGATGGAGCTGCTTATCATTCATATTTCATGTCAATACTACGTCTGTATAAGGGCAAGAAGAAATGCCCAGAGTATCAGAAAGGTAGTAGTGCATCCTGGAGGCTTCCCCAGTGCCAGAGCTTCTTGAGCTCCGGATCTGCATGATGGGTGACCTGAGGGTCATGGTCACATGATGTCACGCTCAAAGCGGTGCTGCTTTCCAGTCTTTATCCCCTCTCAGAGAACGAAAATCAGCCTGGCTCTACCAGCCCTTCTGCGGAGGTTGGCAGAGCCAGCGGTACAACTGGTTCTCACAAAACTTGTTTTGAAGTAGCTTATGGAAATGCAGTTACTCTCCCTTAACGGTCACTTTTATGGCATACTGATAGGGAATGTGATTACAGGGTGGACATCTTTCACAGAAAGTACATTTCTCTCTCTCCCACTTTTGTTCTCATTTGCAGCCAATTGTAAAGAGTCTGAAACATAGAAAATTAGTTGAACTACATTAGTAAGTAGAGTGCCTTTCTTCAATTTTGCATACTGAGTTTATTTTTAGGAAATAAATGTGTGTGTGTGTGTGTGTGTGTGTGTGTGTGTATTTATTTATTTATTTATTTATTTATGGTATAGATTCCCCCTCCTCCTTTCTAGCAGCTCCACATAGAATCACACATTTTAATGAGCCTAGGGCACAGGTGTTGCAGGAAAAAAAAATAATGATGTTTGCCATTCATCTTTCAAATTAAATAATGTGTTTTTAAATAGTAACTTTTTTCATAATACATTATGGGAACAACATTTATCTGTCACATTTTAAAAGATGTATTTGTAATAAATGTAAATTACTTTTAGAAAATCAGTAATTAGGCTCATCAAAAAATAAACAATCTGCCACAAAAAAGATAATCTTTAGCATAGTTAAGTATAATAACTGTTATTTGAATAAGTTAACAAATTAGGGTAGATTGCTTCTGTAATTCATTTCCTATAGCACAAGTTTAGGTTGCGGCATTAAGCTCCTGGAGTGGGGTTGCTGATGGCAGTTAGCACCCCACACTTCGGTAAAACACAACTCTCACATACAAAAGCTCAAATTTTCTTTACACTCGATTGAGATAGTATATACATCACTGGGGCTTAGAAATGGAAAATAACAGAATTTCTGTGTCACTTTTAGAACTATATCATCATCTCAGAATTATCAATCAATAGCCGTCTGATTAAATATGAAGGGTGAAATGACTTTAAAAATTTGATGGAAATCAGCCTGTCAACTTCAGGCGAAATTCAAAAATTCTGTTTTTATCAAAACGCCATTAACTTGTCCCATATTCTTGCTGCATTTGCTGTCTAGGCCTGTCCTCAGTCTCTCTGGGTGGATAAATAAGAGCCCCTTCTTTAACATCCACTTTTCCTCCCTCTTTGATTCCCTAGACTTGGCCATGATTAGGAGTGTGACAGCCCAGCCTTCCACTGGGGAAGCAAATGTGACGATAGTTACTTGAGACAGAAGCATAAAAGAAAGGTCCAGATCAGGAGACACAGCCTTTAACCTAATCAGTGTTCATCTTCAGGCAGCAAAGGCAGCGGCAGCTCTGTGCACAGGAAGCTGAAATGGGGAGCGTTGTCGTCGTGCATGCATTTGACCAGAGGGTATAATTGCAATTTGGAGAACTACGTTTTCCTCCCTCAATGGAAGAATTTGAGGTCCTAAATTATCCAGTTACTTCCACAAATTTTGTACTCTTTTTGCCAGAATGATGTAATACAATAGCCACTAAACATGTCATTTGTGACTGATTTTCCCCCCTTTTGCTTCACATTACTTGCATTGTTGGGAGTGTGCCTTCCACCTATTTGTCTTCTTCAGATATGTATGTGCCATGACCAGTCATTCTGACTAGCCTTTTTTCCTGTCATGGCTTTGTTGACTCAAACGCATATAAAATACATATGCTAAAATTTATTAAAATGTGTATTTAAAACATGAGAACTATACATACCTTTCAATGAGATGATTTTCATGCTTGGAGAGGGTTACATTCTACCTATGCATATTTCTATGTTGTTCTTCATCAAGGTTTAGAGGATTTCCTTCACAGGTTAAAGTTTTGGAGTTGGGATGCAATGCAGCTTTGTCCTTGGGCTCTGTTGCCTTTGACAAGAGTCCTGGAACTCCAGGTTTGGCTGAAGCAGCATTATGTTCCTCCAGCATTCCAGGCTCACCCGGGTGTTCTGAACTTCCTTTTTCACTGCCCAGCCTTGAGGGCATAGTGGACTTGGAGCTTTCTCCACAGACATTGGAAGCCTGGGGTAAACCATCCACTTCCTTTCCAATGTCAGATCCTTCCTGAGGGGGAGGATTTGAAAAAGCCACCATGTCTGTATCATCAGCTACGAGAGAAATATCACTAAATCTAGAAGAGCCTGCTGCTGCTTGTAATGGCATCGTGGCCGCACTGGTACCCACAGGTTCATTTGGAGGAGCGCTGGAGAAACGGGGCTCATCTTTTTCAGGGTCATCCTCAACACAGGCCTCAAAGAAGCATTCAATGTCTTCCTTGTCTTCTAGGCCAGAGTCGGTGACATCCAGTGGCAAAGGAGTGTTGCTCTTCTCTTCTATGTAATTGGTGACCTCCCCACAATCACTGTCATGAGATGAGAGAGATAAGTAGGAATAAAAGTCTCCTTTTCTCAGCTGGATGGGCCGGTGAGAATGTTCTAACACTTTTTCCTTGATTTGGGTTAATGAAGTAGGAGCAGCTGCCTCATTTTCAGGTTGAGATTTACTTTTTAGGGCGGTTGAAGCCATGTCAATAATTTCCTTAACAAAGTCGTGTACTGAACAATCTTCAGCATCTTTTGGATGGAAAACAATTGACTCACATTCACAACAGGAAGTGTTGTCACTAATAGAGGCATGTTCCTCGATTTGATTTTGTTCAACTGCTAGGCAGCAATCAGCAGATTTTCCAGCCCTAGTTGGTGCACCATTAGATGAAGATTTCAGTAAGTCAGAGTCTGGTCTGTTGATAACTCTGGTCTCTGAAGGCAGTTCTGGGCAAGACTTCTCAATGAGAGTAGAAGCAGCCCTTTGATTTTCAAAATGGTGGTGGTTCTGACATTTTTGAGGAAGATGTCTAGCAGTTTGGGGGACAAATTCCTTTCTAGCAACGTCTGAATCACCTGAGCTATCCACAAATGCTTTACATTCACAATGCTCACCCTCTGAAATCCTTTTCCTGCTTACACCAAGATTTTCTGATTCCTTTGAAGTCCCATGAAGTTCATCCTTCTGTCTTGCTGGAGTACTTTCAATATTGCCATTTTCCATGTCAGCCACATATGGATCTTTATTAACTTTGAAAATATTTTTCTTATTTTCACCTTTTGTCCCTAACTCATGGGTGTTGGATAAATTCTTACTATTTCCGTTATTTTCAGAGAAACATTTTGTGGAGCCATTTAGCAGGGCCTCAATGCTCAGGGTGTCAGAAGGATTGGTCATCTCACTCCTAATGTCCTTACTGCCCCTTATTTCATCACTGAGATTACATCTTCTCTTATCTCTAGTCAAGGAAAGCTTTGGTCTAATCCAGGTGTGCAGTTCATTCTTTATATAGTGCAACCCTGACATCAAGTTGCAGTCTTCATAAATTTCGTCGTCTGTCGCGATACTGGAGTCATCATCCTCATCTTTGATGCACAGCTCTTCTTCTGTCAAGGTGAGAGTGGAGCTGGAGAGGAGGTCACTGTCGTCTTCGTCATCAGTGCAAGCAGAGGTGCAAGAGACATTCACGATCATGCTGACATTGACATCGCTTTCATCAGCCACCGAACGAGTCAGGCGCTTCCTGAAGGAAGCATTTGATTCCGGGATCTTGTTCTTGTGCAGCACAATATCCTCTGAGCAAAGAGAGAGCTCATCACTGCTGCTGAGTTCTGTAAGAGATGTCGGCGAGTCTTCATTGATAGAAGAGGCTATGTCCAACGACAGCTGGCCAGTCAAGGACATCTTTTGGGAACTGCTTTGAAGAGTGATATCAGAAACACTTCGCTTTATCTTTTGCTCTGAGGGGCTCTGGATATTCTCCAGACGATTCAGAAGATCTAATGTCCTTTTACTCAGTTCACCAACTGAGCCGCTGCTCACGCTTATGTCCCCAGAGCTGTGACAGCTAAAAAGATCTTCATTACTTTTATAGGATGTCAACCAACTTTCTAAAGAAGTGCTTCGCTGGAGGCTGTCGCTGCCGGTTTTAAAGATGCCCAATCCAAATAAATCACTCCCTGGAGAAAGGGAATCTATAGAGGAACTATGAGATAGAAGGGAGAGCTGTTTGGCATTCTGCATGCCAGTGAATGTCTTCTCTACATCACCACTTTTATATGAACTGTGATCCATTTCATGGGATGCACTTGCCAAAATCCTTTCATGGGGAGGTGCGTCTGGTTGTAACTCTGTAGCATGATGTTTAGATTTGCAGGACTTTTTATCAAAATAAAAGCCATGAAGCAAGGGATCCTCTACATGGACTTTTTCATTTTGTGACTGTTTCATTATCATTGGTAATTTCAGTTTTGAGCCTTGGAGGTATGAGTAATCATAAAATGTAAACACATCATGTTTTCCTTGTAATTCTTCTTCCAAACAGTCAGGGGTATGTTTAATAACACTGTTCAAATCTCCTACTTTTCCATTTACACAACCCACTGGTGAAGTGGATGACTGAGAGCTGTTTGGAAGCTTAACGGCTTCCTCCTCATCTTTAAATTTCTGCTCTAACACATTAATGGCATCTCGCATTGGTGGGTCCAGATGCTCAGCGTCAGGGTTACTTGGGGACCCATCTCCCACACTGAGCAAGCACGCTTCGGAGTTGGCAGTGGTGTCAGTGTCTCCTTCGCTGACGATCCCGCTCTCGCTGCCTGAATTCTGGCTCGCGTCTCTGCCATGGCACGGGCAGGGCTTCGCCAAACTGGAACCCCCTAGAAGATCCGGCAAAGATTTGGTAGATGAAAACGAAGAGTCTTTACTGAGACTCTTAGTTAAAATACTAGGCTGTGTCGTGCTGGTGAGCTTCGGACTGTTCTTCAGGAACGGCACGTGGCTGTCCTCATAGAGCTCCACGTTGTGGAGGCTGTATACTTGGTAAATGTGTGGACTGGAGGGGGCGGTAACGCTTGAGGTACACGGAGATCCCCCGTGGTCACCTGCCTTATCTTCATAATCAGGTCCTTCACTACCTGTCTCTTCAAGTTTTAAGGAAGGCGTGACAGGTTGGGGTTCTTGATCGAGATCATTTGATTCTTCATTCAAACTAATTAACTTGTTACTTATATCAGTTTCATCCCATTCCAGGGCATCCTCGCTGGTCCCGTTTAGGTCCATCAAGCCAGGGTCAATCACATTCAAAGTCTCCTGTGTAAGGGGAGGGAAAAAAAGAAGAATTAGGGAGCACAGGCATGAAAATTTTATCCATTCAAAAATCTCTTGGAAGAGTCATGGAAGAAATTTGCTCCAAGCATAGATTTGAAAGATAGCATAATTATCAGCTTTATTCCTCTATGGAATAATATCCAAAATTATTGAAATAGGCTGTTCTATCAATAATAATTTGTCACCGAAAGCAATAACATAGATTAAAATGTAAGATTATCATAGTCAAACTGTAATTTATGGAATTAACCATTTCCTATTGATTCTTCTACATTTTTAACTTTGGACTGAGTGAAGATAAAACTGTCAGGTAAAGAAAAAATATATAGCCTATCATATCTGTTAAGATACATTCACTCTGATACTGTCTTAGTTCTGGAGGCCGCAGTGGGATACTATCTGCAGCCACATATAGTAAAGCCCCTCATGCCTCTATTCCTGAATTTTCCACTTGAAGCAGCTTTTGACTTGGGAAATAGAATAAAAGTGTAGCCACCTGTGGGGCCATGTCTTTTCTTCCCTTTGCCTTTCCTTTCAGGGCAGTGCATCTTTAGAATTTGCCCTGCTTCCAATCAGACCCAAAATGAGCAACACTGGACCTGTTTCCTCACCTACATCTTCCTGGACCCTGAGTCCAGGGACCAGCACTCCAGGGCAGTCCCTTAATCACACTTCTCTCAGTCTCTCTCTTCCCTGGCCTTTCTCCCTGACAGAGATTTCACTTTGGTCCTTGGTTAAATCGTTTCACTATTTTCAGTCCTACTCCTATTTCTTACAGGTGGGAACCTCCCTCTCTAGCCACCTCCAGCCCTAGAATAACAACCACCTCAGGACTTTTCTGACTTCCAAGGATGCAGTAGCCCAGATCCTCATAATTATACTGCTCTCTGCCTGCACAATTGGGATCCTGGATACTTGTGTGGGCTTCATGCTTTTAGCCCTGCTGAGATGGAACTCGACACATTCTGGGGCACAGTAGAAGCTGAAATGGCTCTTGGACTCTGTCCAGAATCCTTCACCATCTTCACTCGCTGTCCAGGTGTTGTCTCGATTCATGCGAAAGCCAAGGGAGGTGATTTAGATACTGCAGGTCCTGTCAGTGTCAAGGACAAACAGAACCGCAAACAGAACTTCACAGTTCAGCCTATGCTTGCGCAGGGTAGCTGGACACATGGGCATGACTATAGAACTGTGTATGCCAAGTGGGGGAAGTGCCAGTTTTGCTACTGATCTGCATGGCCTTGGGCAAGTTGCTTAACCTGTTATCTAAGCACCAGTCTCCTCACGTAACTTGTTAAAAGGGACTAGTGCTACCGTATCTTGCCATGTGTAGCGTACACTCACATTTTGGGCCCAAACTTTGAGGAAAAAAATTTTTCATTTTAATGTTTTAATTCAATTGTGTATTTATTTATCTTTAGAAACAAAACTGATTATCGTATTCCAGGCTATTATTTTGCATATGAATATCATTATTGTTTTCTAGAGTTGCACTTTTAACACATACACATAAATAAAAGAATTAAAAACATTTATATAGATATGGAATCAGTACTACCCACATACAATGTGCATCCTTATTTTTCCCTCAAAAACTTGGGCAAAAAAGTGTGCATTATAAATGGCAAAATACGGTATCTTTCAAGCTAATTCTGGGCACTAAATGTGCTATGCACATGAAGGGCTGAGGAGGCAGTCGGTTTAAGGTAGCTGTCATTCTTAATGCAGGTAGAATTGCTCTAGAGTGGCCTTGAGTCAACTCATGAAGGGTTCTCCCTGCCTACCTCAGTCTCTTGTTCACATCATTCCTTTCAATTTGCTCTTAAAACCACAAGGGATTCATGACTGGGTAAGTAGAGAGAGGTGTCATACAGTATAACAGGTCAGCATATTTGCATTACAATTCAGACTTACTTTAATAGTCTAGTTGAAAACCAAGCCTCATGCTTTATTCCTTGGTAGTGGGAAAAAGACTTCACCAGCAAAACATTAGCAGAACTTTCTTAAGTCCTCAGTCCTTCCTGAAGCTAATAGTTAAAGGATACCACCAGACACATTAAGTATAAAATACCTATTAGCACTTTATTATACGGGATATGTAAGAGATTATCTGTATGGCCTACTTAAGTTTAAAAGAGTCCAGTTACAAAGTAAACATTAATTAAGGGATATTTTTAAATTTTATAACAGAAATCTTTCCTGCTGCTAATGTCACCGCAGTTAATTTAGTGCACTGGCACTCATCACACCTGCTTAGGTATGGAGTGCATACACTGTGATGAATTTTTATTAGAATTTCTGTTTATTCTTTGCTTGCTGATAAAGGCAATACTAATGACTGGTTAGTATGGCTAATGAATGTTAAAATCTTCAGCTGCAGGAACGATCAATCAGTCAAATCAAATAGTATATTAATTTCAAATACTATCTTGGCTGACAATATACTCAGAGAGCGCTAATAAATAATTGAACTAGTCTTTCAAAGGAGCTCTCCTTGTCACTCTCTGGTTGATGCTAACATTTAGCAGCACAGATTTTCGCTGAGAGTCCCAAGCCCGGGGCTCACCCTGGATGCAGGAACTGTGCCATCTGGATGTGTGCCGGGAGCTTAGCCCAAGCGATGCCGGGAACTCGGACTCGTCTTCCATGACAGAGTCATTTTCTGACCAAATGCCGCCTTATCAGCTTTCCAAATGCAAGCCTAACAAAGTATAAAACTTACAGCAGTACCTAGAAGAACAAATCCTTTGTTCAATAAAGTGGTTGAGTAGAAAATTTCCACAGAAAATTATTAAACTTTTGGATATAATATTATCTTTTCCCCTTCTAAATTCTCTTCTATATATGTCTTAAATTCATTGTAATTTCTGAATTTTTTTTTGTATGTCAATTCCAGGGATACCTGACAACATCCACTAGTAAATCGTTCACCTTAGACTTTAAACTTTACGTATTAAAAAAGTACTACTCGCCCTGCCATCATTCCCTCTCTTCTGTCATGGATTAAATTCGGACAATATTTTTGATAAAATCTCCATTTTCTCAAGATTTACACTCACACATAAAACATACCCTGGGGGCAAGAATGTGCAGAGAGTTTCCAAGAGAAAGGATATTAGAATATGTATATAACTAAAAAGTGGTCTTTGAAGGAAAGGTGTATATAGAGAGTAATATAGTTGGTAGGGAAATTAGTTGTTATTATTTTTCTAGAGGAAGTGTCTGATACTTAAAAAAATACAAGTGTTGTCTTTGATAAAGAAAGTGATAAATCAAAAATGAGTGAGCTGGTGAGCTGTGTGGTCAGACCATCGAGCTTCGCAAGTACTGGGGTTGGGGGAGTAACTCACCTCCCATCTCATCTTCACATGGAAAAAAACTGATGTGAACAAAATTTAAGAACATTTGAAGTCAAAAGACTGGTGAGTAGTACATGTGGTACCAGCAGAGATTCTGCAATTCCAGAGATAATTCTGAGCTAAGTTAATTCATGCAGGGGGTCTCTTACTTATAAACTTGCTTGACTGGTACAGAATTGTTGCCGAACCCAAGGGTTTTAGATAAATAATTATACACAAGCATACATCTTTACAGATCCGCTCAAGAAACAAGTAGGATTAATCGGTGCTAGTTTATTTTTATTCTTGGAAGCAGGTTATTTATATTAGCACAATACATAATAGAGGAAGTAACTAAAAGTTTCTGGAGAAGTGACGATAAGGAGGAAGAGTATGAGAAGGAGGAGGAAAGAACCAAGATTCACCTCCAGTAACTAATACAGTCCAAATTATCTTCCTTCTCCTCTTGTATCTCTCTAATCGAGTAAGGTTTCCCAGGATTGCATTTCTGGGATTTTCTTAAAATTTGAGGTTAAAGAGTGAATTTTTGTAAGTGATAAGAAATACGTTATCAGCTAAAGAGGAGAGATGAAGGAATCTGGCATTCTATAAAACAACTCAACAGAGATTTGATATAGCTATATCTGGATTCCTTTAATTTCCTTTAAAATATTACATCTTTTGAAAATCTAAAGAATCTCAAAAACAGCAGGATGTTCCTTTTCTGATTCTACTCAAACTTTTAGTGCTCAGAATGGAAAAACCATTAGGAGGGCTTGTAATTTGTGTTCCCCCTGCTTATTCTAGATTCAGGACTTTACTGAGTGATACCACTTGCAAAGCCCTGGGAGAGGATATTTATCTGTAGAAAAGTAAGATACAACAAAAAACATACAAATAAACAAAAACAATAAAGCATAAACAGCTTTAATTGAATAAAGACATGTATATTCATCCTTAGGCAAAAGGCAGACCCATGGTGTGAGGGGGCCAAACAGGAAGGGAAAATCATATATACATGAAGGCAGGGGAATCAACTGAAATGAGGGGAAATTCCAATCTTCATATACTCTCTCTAATTTTTTGATGCAATAGTGTCCCTAGCACCCATCCCCAAATCTAAATCCAAAGTGTCTGAGCATTAGCTGCATATTTATTTTCCTAAATTAGACTTAGGTAGAAACTTTTTTTAAAAAAAAGAAAAAGAAAAAATGCATCAATGACCACAACACACAATGAGTTTTCAGAAAATGGAATGACAAATTTTATGAAAATGGAGTTTGTATTATTCTGCCTCTTCCTGAGCAGAGAACTGACTCCCAGTTAGCACCAAAAAAAAGATAGATGAGGGTGGGAAGTGGGGATGGATGGGGCCGGGGAAAGTCGTGGCAGGAAAATGGAAACAAATGTATTTGAACGATTAAAAAAAAAAAGATAGATGAAGAAAGAAATAGAGTAAAAGCAATGCTGTTCACTATCAACTATTTTAGGATTTGGGCTGAAACTCACAGATCTGAGTTTGAACTCTGGATCCTCCCTCTCATGTTAGCTCTGTGATCCTGGACAAGTTATTAAACATCTACATGCCTCAGTTCCATCATTTGTTTTTCCAAGATAATCACAGGTCATTGTGTCTACCTTAGA